TTGGGCTGGACATGTCAGAAAGTAGAGGCCAGTTCTGGGGCAATGTCTGTCACCAAGTGTGGGTAATTTGGGGTATCTTAGTAACTTTATCTGGTAAGTGGGAGGATGGAAGAAGAGCTAGAGAATTCTCATTGGGAAGGAAAAGCAAGGTGGGCATGGTGGCACATGTCTGTAATCCTAGTACTCTGGGAGACTGAGGCAGGAGCATTGCAAGTTCAAACCTACCCTGGGAAAGTTAGTGACTTAGTGGGTCCTTGTCTCAACATAAAAAATAAAAAAAGTACTGAGGATGTAGCTCAATGTGAAAGCCCTGGGTCCAATCTCCAGTACCAGAAGAAAAAAAGAAAGAGAAAGAGGGAGCAAAAGAGAAAGAAAAAGAAAAAGAGAGAAAAAATAAATTAATTTTTGTTGTTGAAGTATGGCCTTGTCTCTGCCATGCTTTACGCATGGTCTCAGAGTAGTCTTGTCCAATTATTGTTTATATTCTTCAAGAGTTGTTTATGTTCAGTTGGGAACACTTTGCTTCAGCTTCACTGTTAGCTGACAGCTACTGGAGCCATTTTTTACTTCCTCAGAATCACTTTGAGACTCACCAGGAGGGTCCAATAAAATCAGGAAGTTCCATGAGACATGTCTGATAAAACCAGGAAGTTCTCTGACAGCAGTGCATTTCGGGATATGTGGCCTGTATGTAGGTATTGTCTAGAGGCCAGAGAACTAGATGGTGGAGGTAGGAGAATGACAACTTTGGGACAGAGAAGCTTATAGAGGAAAGGCTGCTGGGGCTGGGGATCTTGGCCTGGAGCCCACACATCAACATTATCCCTGGCTGAGGTTCTGAGAGGTCACTTGGTGTACCAAAGAAGAGAGTGGCAGGAAACATATTCCTGTGGGTAAAAGTAGAGTCAAGCCAGCCAGGGAAGGGGAAAATCGGACCTGTGGGGGAAAGTAGAGGAAAACTATGAAAACAGTATGTCTAGAAGATGCAGAGGGCAAACCTGGCTCTAAGAATGGTCAGAGGCAGGATCCTGAAAAAAGGTTCCAGAAATCTGTGGCATTCTTAACAGTCTAAATAAAGATAGGCTTTTTAAGTATTGGTGGGGGGGAGTGCATGAAGTTATAGGCAATTATTCAAAGACATGTGGGTGAGAAATGTCAGAATGAATGAGATAGGGAGGATTTAGGAAAAGAAATCCTTCTATAGATGCTAAACTTAAAATCACACTTGAAGGTAGTAAAGAACTGATTTGATGATGTAGGAATGTGAATAAATGATATACTGTGCAGATCTGAGAAAATAGGGAAAAGAAAGGTGGTGACAGGGATAAAGGAGAATCTGATAGAAACAAAGTGGGGAAGAGAAAGCCCAGACACCACAATCCTCAAGGAAAAACCCAAATACATGAAGATAAAACCAATGCTTCACATTTCCTCAATTACACTTTTTCACAATTTTGAGCTTTCTAAAGGCAAGATGCATATTACTTAAAATTTGCCTGTTATCACCATCACCAAAAATGTACTCAGTGGTATGCTTTTTAAACTGATGCCATGTTAGAATCAAGGAAATATGTTAATGGGGGGAAAATTCCTTAGCTGAAGCAATATCTAAGTTATGGGATTTTGAAAAGGCTCACTTGGGTTCCAAGGCATAATAATGGAAAGTAGCCCAAAATGAAGACTTCTTGGTGAAAATGTTTAACTTGTGGAGGAAAAAAACCTACAAGTCTCCAGGACTAAATATCAAGTTACACTAAAAAGACCAAATGTCAGGCTGCCTTGTGACTGTTCTCCAGTACCAAGGGTTAAAAGTTCACAGGAGCTGAAAGTTGTGGCCCAGGAAATTTTTGCTCTACAACCTTATTCTTTTTTGATAACTATAAAAAGACATTGCCTGGACATACAAGGTATATGAATTTCTCTTTTGTCTCCAGTAAAAGAAAGCTGATAGTAGAGGGACAGAGAGGAGGAGAAGGGAGAAGAGGAGAAAAAGAGCAAGCAGAGAAAATTGCAGAGAGAGATGGAGAGATATGCACAGAGAGACAGATTTATTTTAAGAAATTGCTCATGCATTTGTAGGGTCTGACAAATCTGAGATCTGTCAGCAAGCTGGAAACTCAGACAAGATTTCTGTTTGCCATTTCAAACACAATTTCTTCTTCGTGAAACCTCGGTTTCACTCCTAAGGCCTTGAACAGATCAGATGACGCCCACCTCCATTGTCAAGGGCAATCTCTTGTATTTTAAATATTTGTAAATATTAATTACCCACATAGGATATCTACACAGCAACATCTAGACTAGGTTTTGACCAGGCCGTTGGGCACCAGGGCCAAACCAAGCTGACTCATATAATTAGCCATCGTATAAGGATTCACAAAATACATCAGCCTTCTTTACAATAATTTCTCAGAGAAATTTTCTAAATGTGAGTTTAAAATTGAGAAAACCATGGTAGAAAGAAGATTTCCAGTGACACAGGAAACAGTTAGAGAACTGTACATCTGTTTTTTAAATTGAATGGGAAAGCCAAAAATATTCCTGAAATGCAAGCGCTCTAACATTAAAAATAGTGCAGTAACTGTGTTAGATAAAAAATTTCATATCATATTAACAAAGAAAATAGAAGAAAAAGAAAATGAAGGTTTTATCTCAGATGTTAGAATCAAAAGGTCCTAACTTATGTGATCTGACAGCAGCTGAGAAAACATAATTTTTTTTATTTTAAAAATAAAAGGAGGAAAACATTAACAGACAGACAACCATTTACAAAATAGCAAAAGAACAATACAAACAATACAGAGCTACAAAGTGGTAGGAAATTAACAATGCTTGTTGTATTACATATTGGTATCTCCAAAGTGGTTTCTCGTGAAAACAAATAGAGACATGTAATATTGATCAATCAAGGACTCATTAACTGTTTCTTTCAGCAAAGAAATAGAAGACAGTAGATCAACTATGTTAACTACCCTGTACATACATACATACAAAATTTCCCCTTTTTTCCCTTCTCTTTTCCTACAACTCAGTTGCCCTTTACCCTTGAGCATTTTCCTTTCATTTCACAATGTCTATCATATCTCCAAGTTTTTATTCACTCTTGCAGGTTTTACAGTAGTGAGACAATGCAGTGCTTGCACATGCAGGTCTGATTTGTTTCACTTATGAGTATGGTCTCTAGTTGTGACCATTTACCTATAAAAGCCTCAAGTTTATCTTTCTTTATAGCTGAGTAATATTCCATTATATAAAAGTACCACAATTTTCTTATCCAATCCTCAGTGGATGGACAGAAAACATAATTTTAGTAATGATTTCAAAATACTAAATAAACAAATTTTAATGTATTATCTTCAAAAATAATGAAAGAAATAAAATTTCACTCTAGTAGCTTGTGACTACCAGATAAGGTAACTATCATTTGTACCTGAAGAACCTGCATTAGGAAATCACACCTGGTAAACCTGACCCTTGGTTCTCAGCCCTGGGTACGCCTTAGCATCACCTGGAGAGCTTGTACACATTCTGATTCTTGGCACTGCCCCAGACCAACTGCATCAGAATCTCCTGGGGCATGGTCCAGCCACCAGAAATTAGTAGAGCTCTCTCAGTGATTACAAATTTGTACAGCTAAATTTGAGAATCCCTGACCCACATCTTTACTCTTCCTCATGTATCTCTGGAAAGGGTACTCAACTTTAGCATAAAAGTTACTTTTCTTTCTCCCTTTCTTATGTAGCCATCTTGGTGACAATCTATAGTTGTCTAAGAGAGCAGGCTCAACATCTCTTGGGAACTTTTTGGGGATGGCCCTACCCCATGGCCCTGTCTCCTTTAGTGGCCTTCTCAATCCTCATCTTAACTCTTCAAATGTCTAATAGAATCTTTTTCACAAAAACACAAATCTGGCAGAGCATGGTGGCACATACCTGTAATCCTAGCATTCAGGAGGCTGAAGCAGGATTGCTGTGAGTTCAGGACCAGCCTAGGCTAAGTGAACTCAAGGCCAGGCTGAACTGCATAGTGAGACCCTGTTTCAAAAAGACAAAAACAAACAAACAAACAAACAAACAAACAAAAAACCCACAAAACATAAATCTGATCATGCCCAGAACCCCTCAAAAAGCAAACAAAAACTCTATGTGTCCTTTCTAGTAATTTAATATCCTAAAAATGGAACTCAGAGTTCTCTAAGGATCTGACATTTCTACTTTATCCCAGACTTTCTTCTTACTCTCATTTCCCATCCTCCTAACTCCAGCTACCTCAGGCTACCAGCATGTCACCAAATGGAATAGGACATTTCACACTTCAATTCTTAGGCTAATGCTTTCTTCATCCATGATTGTTCTCCCCCCATTTTCCTACCAATGCTTAGACTTTCTTCAAGGTCCAATTCAGATACAGTGTTAGCTTTCCATTGCTGTGACAAAGTACCTGAGATAATCAACTTAAAAAGAGAAAAGGTTTATTCTGGCTCACATTTCAGAGGTTTTAGTCTGAAGTCACTGGGCCCATTGCTTTGGGCCTGTGATAGCACAGTCCATCACAGGAGGAGTATGAGACACAGATCTATTCACTTCATGGTGGCCAAGAAGGAGAGAGAGAGAGAAATACACACAGAGAGGAAAGGTCTCAATATTCCTTTCAAGGGTACACCCCCATGACCCAATTTCCTTGTCCTAGTCCCCAGCTCCCAAAGGTTGCAGTACTTTCCAATATTACCACTGGCCAGTGACCAATCCTTTATCATAGATGGGCCTTTGGGGACCATCTAAGATATAGAAAGCCTTCCCTGATCTCCCAGTCAAAAGGGATTTCTTGTTCTTTCTTGTAGCCCTGGTTTCATTCAATTTTATATAGCTAAAATGTCTGTTTTTCCTCCTAAGTTGTGAATTCTTTGAGAAGAGAAACTATGCCCTTTAGCACCTCCCCCCAATCCACCAGCAAGTGTCTGTGGAACAAATGCCATAGGTCACATTCCAAATGTTAGTGAAGTTAGGCCACCCTACATTCCATGGCACTCCAGAGGGCAGCGGGGCCCACACTTTATTTCAACATGAGTGAGTATTTATTACTAAGGGTCTCTAACCTTGGCCTGTTGAGCAACCCCTTGATATTCTGGAATTTCCATGCTCTCACATTCTCCTCATCCTTCATTTTTTGCTGGTAGAGTGTTTGCCTTGTCCTGACACTTTCTTCATGTCCTTCCCATTGCTGCTTCCTTTCTAGGTGTCTGGTTTGTCCAACTGGACTCAAACAATGTATCATCTTCCTTAGGATGAGGACTCAATTTTTTTTAAGTCTGGGGATAATATTGAAAACTCAGCCTAAAGATCTAAACAATCACTAGTGAATATTTGCTTGGGGAAGAGGTATGAAATTATACTGTCAATGAAGGAGAATACCCATGCCATTGGGCAGATTTTTAATAAGCCTGCCTTAATTAAAAGATAATTAAGGAAGTTAACAGCAGAACAAGGCTGTGGCTACTGGAATCATCCTAATCATACAGTCACAGATTCCCACCCGAGCCTCTGCAGCCTGGAGCTCTGACAGTCAGCCCACAGCCTGAGCCATTTAACTGTGACTGCCAGGTGCCTCATGCCTGAAGGCCACAGGGGTGATTCTGGAGATGACAAAGCCCTAGATGAAAGAAATCTTCTGAGGATAATATATTTTCCCAAATGTTTTTTGCTTTCTGCATAACCTGACCCAAATATTCTACTCATATCGTGCTCTCTCCCTCTTGTAGACATGTTATTTACCACTGTGTATAGTAAGGTTATTTTATTTGCTAATACCTCCCCTACTAAATTTCCAAGCACTAGAGCAAGATTCTATGATTAAATTCTTAATCAAGTCCCTATTCTGTGCTCCACCAAACCAAGACAATAAACCAAGGGAGAAGAAGAGATACTATCCCAGCAACAGATAATCTAACTTTGAAGAAAGGCAAAGTGGACTCAAAGAGGAAAATAAAGAGAAATGTGAGGGTATAATTGCTTATTAAGCCACCAATTTAGAGAAAAGAAGGGGGATTCCCAGAGCGCATGGCTCTAAGAACTAGGTAGAGGTTATAGATGAACTGATATTGTTGAACTTGTGGAAATCACCCTGAGAGATTGTGGAAGTTACAGAGTGATCAAAAAGTTTAAAAAAAAATCTAGGCAAATCAAAAGCAAGGCAATTATTAAGTCTAGGAAAAACAAAAGGTAAGAAAAGAAATATCATTGTAGTATGCTACAATATTCAGCTGTGAATATTTTTATAACACTGTGAACACAGAACAATATTCAATCTGAAGTAGTAATATGAAGATAATGAAAGATGGAAAGTAGAGTGGACACTATTGAAGTTATTGCAATGTAAACTTAATGAGGATTTCTTGTAAGTTGAAAGCAGCTTTCTGCATTTTAATGGACCACTTTGACTTTTGTACTCTGAATTGTCTTCATTTCTTTTTATGTGTTTTTTTTTTCCTGATTTGTTGTACTTTTCTGATTTCTAACAGTTCTTTCCATATTAAGAAGTTTAAGGAGTTCTCTATGAGTTGCAATTTCATGGGCATTGAAAAACTTTATCTGTTGACTTTATATGGTGTTTTAGCTATATGGTAGTTTTGTATTTTTAACTTAATATATTTATTTATGTTTTATTTTACAACTCTGAAATTTTGCATTATGTTCATAAAATATTCTCTATGCTAAGGTTATAAAATAACACCAATCTTTTCCTTAATTCTTTTATGGTCTCGTTTATTTTTTACAGTTGTACTTTTAAAAATGTATGGTATGAAATATAAATACAGCTTTTCTTTTCTCCAAGTGGTTGCTCAACATCTTCAGAGAAAAGTATTTACATTTCTGAGATACCACCACTATTATTTATTAAGTTCCCACGTGTGTTTGCATTTATTTCAGGTCTAACACTCTCATTCTGTTAGTCCATCTGTCCATCAATGAGCCAGAAGCACATTGTTTTAATTCCTGAAGCCTTACCATATATTTTTTTTCCAGGACTGGAGATTGAACACAGGTTATTCCTACTAAACTACATCCCTATCCCATTTTTTATTTTTTACTTTAGGACAGAATCTTACTAAGTGGCTAAATTGCCTTAGCTAAGTCAAACTTGTAATCTTCCTGCCTCAACCTTTGAGAGTACTGGAATTACAAGCCTGTGCCACTAGGTCTGGCTTTTATCACACTTTCAATTCCTGGTAGAGCTAGACATTTTCAAAAATTTCTTGGATCCTTTTGCTTATTTTTCTGAGTGAACTTCAGAACCAGTCTGTCTAGTTCTGTAGCAGAAAATCCACCCCCACACACACCAGTATACTTCAGGTTGTTAGTTGCCCAGGTAATAGTTCCTGTTCCAGTTCTGGTTGCTTCTCTCTCTTAGAAATGGTTGGTTATTGTGATGCATAGCTGGTCGCTATGATACACATTGTATAAACCAATCCCTAATTGACAAGCCATTCTATCTCAGTACTTCCTGCCTAATTAATTAATATAAGGCATAAACCACCAGAGACTGATGCCGATATTCTGGAATGATCTCAATCAGTGCCCATTGCTGTAAATAAATCTGCCTCCAAATCCTGGATATTATTCTGGTTTTTCTGCTTGCTGTTGCATCTGGTGCATCAGCTGGGAAGACCAACCATGCTGACATCTTTGGTCTCTGGTCATAGCCCTCACTGACAGAGCAAGGACCTCTCCAGGTCCCAGTGGGAAGGCACACCCCTGAGATTTCTCAAATTTTCTCTGAGGCCTGGAGGGCGATTCCTGGCTCCCCATTCAAGCGAATAACATTGACCCCCAAAGGGAGGAGGATGAATCTGTCTGTCTGTCTATCTGTCTGTCTGCCTGCCTGCCTGATTCTGTTAAGACCCCTGGGGGCAACCCAGTTAGTCACTCTGCCTGCTCAGTTTGAGCAGAAGAAGAGCTTGATCATTTCTTGTTAGTTAAGGCAACCTTCAAGGGAAGAGGGGTTGGATTGTTTAACCTCTGAGTGCCTGCTGAATGAATGTGTTGCTCTCATTTGACCCTGCACATTCAACTTTGACTGTTCCCTAAGAGGAAAATGATGCCTGCATCAGCCTGAGACAGATCACCACAATCCTGAAGTTCTGAAAACTTTCTTCCCAGAGGTATACTTGCCCCTGGGCATGGATATCAACCATGATCAGATGTCACAAAAAGCCCAAACAGGCATCCAGCCATGCATCAGCCTGACAGACTGTTAATCACGTTGGGTAAGATCTCTGTGCTGTCAACAGTGCAGCCTCTGCTTGCGAGTTGCTCCCACAAGCCCCTTCAACTGGGACAATCCTGAGATAAAAGGCTAGCTCACTTGGATTCAGTTGCCATAAGGGGTTAAAAACTCTCACACTTTGACTCCACACCTGTGTCCTACATGACACAAAAACCATCCTAGTCATCAAAACAAACCCACAAGGCCATCTGAGAGGCTCAGATTCAGCCCAAGCCAGAAAAGCTTTATCCTGTTCTGCAGAAGGACCCTTAGTCTGACCTGCCTCCTCCTTACATTCATCAATCCCAAGCTGCTCAGCCAACTGCAACACCACCACCACCAGTTCTGTCTCCTGCCCCACAGCCTCCTGCTCTCCCAGATTAATTCACTTAGACTCATTGCCATAAGAGTTAAGAACTCTTCCACCTTGGCTCTGCACCTGTGTGCCCACCTGCCAACACAGCACAACTGTCATCAATTCCTTCTGACTCTGTTTAATACTGAAGAACACTGCTGCATTTTAGATGGGGCCCAAGCCTGGTTAAAGTCAAAAGTCTCCACCACTATGGTTGATCCTGATGCTTGGGTGAACACAGTCCTCCCCCAACCACATCCAAACTGGGACTGTAATGTGACAGAGGACCATGAAGGCTTAGATCAGAACCACACTGCTCTCCTGGCAGACCTCAAAGATGGAGGCAACAAGCCAATAAACATGTCTAAAGTTACTGAAGTTACCGACTGGAGCCCCTACTGAAAAGAAATTCTGCCAAAGCAGACCGTGTGAGATTGATGGACATGTTATCAAACATAAATTCCTGTACATGACTGAGTGCCCTATACCGCTCCTGGGACATGACCAGCCCCCCTTACACTTAGGTCCACTGTCCCAGACTTGATATTGACTCTGACTATACCCTAGGAGGAAGAATAGAGCCTACATCAGCCTGAATTGCCTGATAATCATAACCCTAAAATTCTGAGAGACTGTTTCCAGAAGTATGGACAAAGAACTCATTTCCAGGACTTGCTATCAATCATGAACCTTTGGTGATTGAGCTGTGCCCCAAGGCAATCCCTACCTGCATCAAATAATACACCCCTCCTGCCTATAAAGCCAATTCAAGATCTCTAAGCTGCCAATGCCACCATGAGTGCCCTCCATACACATTGCCTCAGTCTTCTGCCACGCACAGTGTGCTGGTACATCTGCCTGAACCTAAAAAATACTTACTTCCGCCTTTGATTGGTTCCTGTCAGCCAGCCCCTCTTTGCCTTTAAAGGGAAAGACCCTAGTTCTTGACTGAAAAGCCAACTGACCTGGAGTCAACCTCCAAAAGTTTCAAATGATGTTTGCTCAGACTGTCAGGCCCTGGAAGCACCCAACGGCCTCTAAGGGCTCCCTCTCCGCTTTGCCTCCATGCTTTAACAGCCACTTTCCTTCTGATCAAGAAAGCTGACAAGCTCACCTTAGACCAAGACCTAACTATCCAAATGCCACATTCTGTACTGGGATGAACAGTATGAACTGGGTCTAAAAATGGACCCCCTGACAGATGCTGAGTACACTCGGTTTATGGATGGAAATAGCTCTGTTAGGAATGAAGTCCGACAGGCTAGATATGCTCTGGTCACCTTGCACAAAGTTATTTTGGTCAAAGCTCTCCTACAGGGATGATCTGCACAGCAAGCTGATGTTTGAAAACCTGCCACCAACAATGCAAAATAATCTAGTCCAAAGGCCTAAGCACCCTCTGGGGATCCAATTGACATCAACCTCAGTCAGAAAAACTTTACCCAGTAT